TGAAACAGAAGGATTCACATTGGGATTCCTTTAACTTGTGGTACATGAGGGCTTTTCAAGGAGTGCAAGGTAGTATGGGAAGGATAGCTTTAAGGGAATACATTTCCAGACCTGTAACTTCCATATGTTCTGATAAGATTCTTTTTTTATTTTTGATAATCATTTATCAAAACATTTCATGTTTTTGTTATTAATGTTGATTTGTTGAACTGTAGACTAATAATAATTGTAATGATAATTTAGTATAAAAGAAATTTCAGATACTTTAGAATCTGGTGGTCACAGAAAAAATTTAAGTTTCAGTTTATATACATGTTTTGGTGGAGGAGAGTATGAGTGGGTAAAGATTAAATGAATTTCAAACATAAAATATATTATGGTAGCATAAAATTCTATACAGGAAGGAGAATGGAAATATAAGTTCAAGGAGAAGGAGAATGATATAAAATTTTCAACTGTAAAAGAAAGTCCTGTTCATACATTTTTAAAATGAATAACAGTGGGTATCAAAATGCTAAGGTATTGAGACACCTTTGGATTAGTTTGAAAGAATAATGTAAAATTTTAATTTTAAAACATCAACACATAGTAGAAATTACATTATTTGATACTATTTAAACTTATAACGAAAAACTTTAGATGTTTATTTAAATACATGTAAAGGGCTACATAGCATTTAAAAAATGTTTTGGGGGATCATATGCAAATGAGAAAGACTTGGAAGACCCACTGTTCTCAATACTTGACTTGGAACGGTCCATATTGAAGGTGGCCCTGAAATAGATCAAAGTTTGAAAACTCAAATGTCACAGAGGCCAAGAAGGTTAGCATAAGCCAGTGACATGGGTCTAGAGGGCACTGGACAAACTGAAGAGCTCATATGCAAAGTGGCAGGATTTACTCAGCTCCAATCAAACAGGGCTAGATTTCAAGCACTCTGTTACTAAATTTTTCCAGAAATTCTGGATTTTCATGGGATATCTCTTAATTTTTAATGTTGGCTACATGGGTCAAATAAAACACCTTGTTGATGAATCTGACCATGGGATGAATCTGACCCACGGGTCAATTCTAAATTCTGTTGTAGACGGAATGGCATGTGGACTGCTCTTTTATTTGACTATATTCTAGAATGGAAAGTGTCCAAGGAGTGGTGCTTGATTATTATAGTATCTTTTCTAAAAATATAGGGAACTAATGTTAGAGATTGTTATTTTAGTCTTTTAAAATATTTATTTCCTAATGAGTTTAGGAAACCCTAAGGAATGCTAAACTAAATCTATAAGCAAGCAAGTCATTCCATACATTCCTGAGCCAAATGCATTTATACTTGTTATATATATATCAGAGAGATCTAATTTAATTATGCCTCAAGAATTCATTTTATGTTCCCTGATGATACTGTAGTACTGGGGACATAATCTGCCCCAAGAACTATTTATAATCTGAAAGCCCCTTCTCAGTCCCAACTCTAACAAAACTTTCATGCAGCTGATCATTCCTTCCTTTCTGAACTCCCTTCCCTCTTTACTTTTCTTTCTGACCTTACTACTTTTTCTCTGTGGGACCCTCTTCTACTCACTCTTTAAATGTAGGTATTGTCTAGGATGTTCTTCTTGTTTCCCTTCCCCACCTTCCGCTCCCTCCCCTCCCTTCCCTTCCTCATCTGTTTTCCTTTCTTCTCTTCTGTCTTCTTCCACTCTCCTAGATCAAATTTATTTTTCCCCATAGCTTCAAATATAATCTCTGCACTGATAAATTCCAAATCATTACCCACCACCCTGGTTCCTCCCCTAAAATCTCAACCTTAGTATTTAGGAGTCACCAGGCCTAATGTTCAAATCTGAACTCATCAGTTTCCCCTGCAAACAAACGAATGCTCCATCTGCTACTCCTTCAGTCACCCAGGTGAGGAGCGTGAGCTTTCACCTCTGCTCTCTCAGTGCTTCCTCAGTATTCCTCTTGTGCTCGTCTTCTCATTTTTATTTTCACAAGTAAGTCTCATTGCTTTGGACCCTTGAATAACCTCCCAGCCATCCTGATACTGTTTCTAAATTTATCTTTCATACTTCCATAAAACTTAGTTTGCCAAGAATTCATTTATTTTGCTTCAAAAACCAACGGGAACATGTCTTTACTCTCCTCAAAATCCTCCATGGCTCAATATGTTTTATAAAAATCCCACTCCTTATCATGGTATTTGAACACCATTTTAACATTATGCAGGGGCTGGCCAGTTAGTTCAGTTCGTAAGAACGTGGCCCTGTAACACCAAGGTCAAGGATTCGGTTCCCTGTACTGGCCAGCTGCCCCCCCAAAATATCAAACATTATGCAAAGTATCAGCGCTATTGTTCCAATATGGTTTGTCTCCACCAAAACTCATGTTGAGGCTTGGTCCCCAATGTGGCAGTGTTGGGAGGTGGAACCTTTAAGAGGTGGTGCCTACTGAGAGGTGTTTGAGACTCCACCCTCCTTGGCAGTGTAGTGAGTGAATTCTCGCTCTTGCAAGACTGGATTAGGTCTCACAGGAATGGATCAGTTTCCATGTGAGTGCGTTGTTATAATGTGAGGGTCCCCTTTACCCCTTTACACATATCTGCTTTCCCTTTGACCTTCTGCCATGTTATGACACAAAACAAAAGCCCTCACCAGAAGCTGAGCAGGCACCATGCTTCTCGGACTTACCTACCTCTAGAATGGTGAGCCTAAATACACCTCTTTTTCTTTATAAAGTATCCAGTCTCATAACAACTATACTTCCATGAAGTTGTTACAACAAGCAAACGGAAAGGACATTCTTGGGGGGGAGGGGAGAGAGGGAGGAGGGAGGGAGGTGTCGGTGACGGGCCATAATAATCATATACAGTGTTTATTGACAAAATAAAAAAAAAATAAATAAAGTATCCAGTCTCATAACAACTATACTTCCATGAAGTTGTTACAACAAGCAAGCGGAAAGGACATGCGGGGGGGGGAGGGGAGAGAGGGAGGAGGGAGGGAGGTGTCGGTGACGGGCCATAATAATCATATACAGTGTATATTGACAAAATAAAAAAAAAATAAATAAAGTATCCAGTCTCAGGTATTCTCTCATAGCAACACAAAATGGACTAACACAATCAGTAAATATTCTGCTTCTCCAGAATTAATCTATCAGTAAATGTGTTCTGGAAACACCAGAGTAAATTCAGTAAAGTTGGTTTCTTTACTCTAGGACTTTTTACAGCTGCTAAAATGCTAATGTGATTTGTGAATCTCTGCAGTTTCCCAAATATACTTGGTCAGGGGATCCTTCCATTGAGGAATCACTATGAAAAAATCAAAGAGTGTGTTTGCTGAAACTTAGAACTCAGTAGATTATTGACAATGGAGTTATACTACCTGTCTGGCTTTTCTCCTACTGTTCAGATTTCATCTTCTGTCTGCCCCAGCCACATTGCTGTTCTGGTTCTTCCCAAAGAAGCCACATACCATTAAGCCTCTGGGCTTTGGCTAATTCTGTTCTCTCAGTCTGTAATGCCCTTTCCTCCATTCTTTACCTATTTAAAACCTATACATTCTTCAAGAATCAACCAAGAGGATTTTCCCCCTTGATTTCCTCAATAATCAATAATTCTCTCCATTATTTATTTTATTCTTCCTTATGTCATGTTTGTGTAAATGTCTATTCCTCCCAGCAAATTCTGTTTCATTTTTTTCATTTATCCATTCATTCATTATCAAGTGATATTTACAAAATGTTTATCAAGTACCAAGCACTATTCTGCATATAGGACTGAGTTCTTATTCATTTCAGCAGGATTTGCCATTCCTAACAAAGTAGTCAAAAGGAGTATGGAATACTGGTTGAGAGAAGAGACTCAGGAGCAGGTGGCCTTAATTTGCTCTGTGGCACTACCATTTCTTAACTGTGTGAACTTGGGCAAATTGTAAAATAAGAAATATGAAAATATGATGTTATTCCTAGGAATTCTGGAGTAATCTTTAAGATATAATGCACAATTTTTACTTTATAATGATAGAGAAAAACATTTTAGCAAGGCAATATACTTTATAGCCAGACAATCAAACTGTAATATAGTTAAAATTCACTTTTCAATAAATTCATCTGAGCATGGACATAACTTGCCTGTTTGGATATCTAGAAATTAAAAGTTCACTAGAATTTTTATAATAGTGACAGTTCAACATTTTTCTGAGGGAAAAATAATTTAAACTGACTATTTGGTTTGAAAACAACTAGTATTATTTCACAACTATCTTTTAATGACCAAAATAGCATTTCTGACAAGTTAAATATCTACTATATCTATCCTATCAATGTAGGTATTATTAAGAAACTAGAAAAAATGATATCCATTAACTATATCCCCTGGGAACATGTGATCTTCAATCAGGTGGTTTCACGGTCTTTTATGTGCCTTAGCATATTTCCAACATCATATGCTGCTGAACTGGGGCCTTTAGGACTATATTCGTCCCATTCTGTAAGGACGATCCATTGGTCATAGGTTAAGTGGGATTGAAGAGTCAATGAATGTGTATGTGATGTATGTGACAGCACTTTAAAGACAATAGAATTATACAATACTCATTACCATTGCCTTTGAAAGTTTCTGCTTCAAAAAATACTCCATAAGAAGGTCTCTTTGGCAGGTCAAAGGCAAAACTCCCTCAGTGAGATCCCTACTGACTCTCTTAAACTGAACTTGTCTCAATAGTATCTTGATGTTCTAGCAAGATTCCAGGCCAGGAATATTTACATTTAGCTGAAGTATGCTTTTTTCCTAAAAGCAAATTGTAAATTATTTTTAGGTTGTGTTATATTTGGTGCCAAGGACAAAATATCCTAGAGTTTGACTGGGATTAGGAATGGGGTCATGAGAATCAGCATGTGCTAAGGATGACTTATACCTTTTCAATTTCATGGGAGGAAGATATTAATTGTATCATAGCAAGAATGCCTACTTCTAATGTAGTTTTCGGGTCCATACATACCAGTTTTTAATGCAAATATCAAATCATCAAACTCCTGGGACTCCTCATCAGCTATCAGCGACCCCTGGCCATATCCTCCAGAAGAAGGGAACGTGGCGCCATTTTGTAGACTTTGCTTTAGATCAGGGCTGGCCTGACTGGCTTGTTGGAAGGATGCTCTCTCCCAATCAGGTGGCACCTTTTGGGGTTGGGGTAAAGGGAAAAGGGAACCATAATGTAAGTTCATACACATTTACTTTGAAACCCCTATGAACAATTTATATCCGTGTCTCATTAACAAAGACTTTGTGAAAGAGTGGTTGAATTGTTTTTAAACTAACACCTTTAATTTTATCTCTGTTCCTTAGAAAATGATGTCTCTCCCTGAGCCAATCTAATATGGTGATTCTAAACCATTTCTCTATTAGAATTACTTGTAGATTTCTCTGCTGTCATGTATGGGGAAAGAAAACTTTTTAACCCACTAAATAAATTTTATTTTTTTGTAAGATATATGCAAAGAAAGCTCTTAAAAAATATAAGAACTGGAGAAGAACGCTCCTAATCCTTAATCTAAAATACCATTAGCATTTTAAATACAGTAAGTCTCTATAAGAACATACTGAACTGGAAAAAAAAAGTTTTTTCATGGTATTCTAAATCCCTCCCTGTTTTTGGTTAAATGATTAAATAAAAAGATAGCTCTATCCTGAAATGATTAAATGTATTCACTTCCCTCTAGGTTACTGGAAAACAAACCCTTAAGCATTCCTTTCCTATGCTTTTCCTTCTCTGCATGGCTTTGCAGAATGTCTCAGACAGTCCCTCATTGGCAGCTGGATGAAGGCCAATTCTAAGCCTCTGAGGAAAGCAGAGCACACAAGGCTACACCATTGTGCAACACCCCAAATGAATACTCGAGCAGTGCTCAGGACCAGGAATTGGACAGTCACAGCTATTGCCTACCAATATAAGGTTTTCTGAGAGACTGCAGGGACAGTTCATACTGAGAAAAATGATCTGAAGGCTTTTGAAATAAACTTGAGAGGATAAAATGAAATCTTAAAAAAATTTCACTGAATAGTTGAACATCTATACCAGCACTGTTTAATAGAACTTTCTGCAACGATACAAATGTTTTATATCTGCATTCTCCAATGGGGCAACTACCCAACACAAGTGGCTGTTGAGCACTTAAAATGTGGCCAGCCAGGGTGAATAGTAAACTGAATCTTTAATGTTATTTAATTTTAGTTAGTTTAAATTTAAATAACCACACATGGCTAATGGCTGTTGAACTGGACAGTTCAGATCTAGACAAATGGTAGATTAGGTAACCATTCAAAAAGACAAAAAACATTTTTTTAAGATTAATTTCTGAATTGTTGAACCTAAAAATATCCTGTTTCTATTGGTACTGTGATAAAATAATTCAGTTTTAAGAACTTTTGGGTTATAGAAATGGTACTAAGTTTCCAAACATTTAAGATGTATGAAAGACATCCTAATTTTTAGATATTACACTTGAACTTATTCACCTTATAACTGAAATTTTGTACCTTTTGACCAAAATTCCTTCCATTTCTCTCACCCTCGTCCCTGGCAACTGCCTTTCTATTCTATTTCTGCTACTACTTAATAATTCTGTATGTTAAATTTTCTTTGTTCAAACTAAAAGGTAGATAGTACTTGATTTGTGATTATTTACCTTAATTTTAACCTGACATGAAAAAAATTTTTTCTGTACTGCCATGGAGGGCAAAAAATATTTCTGTGAAGGTAGACTATCTATCTACCCATCCATAGATCTATTTACCTCTCTATCTAGAAACTGTTTGCTTTTCAGACAGACATATCTTGATTTCCTGCCATTTTTCAGGATGTAAACACAAATACTATTCCCCTTGGTTCCTTAATACAGAGAGGGCAACACAAGCTACGTAAGCAGTGGTAGCCAAGCATATCTCAGGCACTACAGAAATGGTCAGGGGCCTGCATTACCATCTCTTCCTGGCCAAATGCACTCAGGTATGTTTTAAAATCTCAGCAGTGGCCCCAGTGTTATGGGCAGCATTACTGACAGGTTGGTAGCAATATGATTCAGACACAGGAAATCAAAATGATGTAGACAGAATACAGAGAACAGTGGGAGGTAGATTTTACAGAGGAAATCCTGGCTAGATTTTCCAGTAGTGCCACAGAAGCACTCTTCTGAGCCTTTGTTCTAAAATATTTTCTAGTATTTAAATCGAAAAGAGTTTTGCTTATTTTGTTTTCACTGTGTTGGGATTGAAGTAGTGAGTTGGGATGGATAAGGAAGAGAGCTGTGAAAGCATTTTTAGGAGGAATAGTATTTTAAAAACCATTTCTTAGGCAGACTCAGTCACTGTCATGTCAAATTAGGAAGATTTTGAAGAAAGAGATGTCAAATTATGCTCTGATTTCCCAATACAAACTACTGGTCAGTGTAGCTCACAGGGCAGGGAAGAAAAAGAATTAGATGTTGTATCACGGGTGTGATACAACAATAAGGAAATCAAGTACCTAAAATTGGAAGATGTCAGTAGGTAAAGGATTTAAAAGTCACCTAGCATCATTTATCTTGTATTCTTTATGAAATGGAAAGACTGCCAATGAGAGAGACAAAGAGAGTAAAAGAGAGAAGGAGAGACAGAGACAGAGAAAGAGAAGGAGAAAGACAGAGACAGAGACAATAAGAGAGACACAGAGACAGACAGATGGAGAGAGACAGAGAGAGAGAAAGGGCAGGGCAGGCACCTCCTCCATAGCACTGATCAGATTCTGGGTGGACTTGCTGATTTCCCCTCCGGCAGCAGGCATTCCGCTCCCGGGTGTGAAGAAGGCTGTGCTGGGTCCTGGATGCCCATTCATTTCCACTGTATAGCTGGCCTTCATAGGGCAACACATTTGGTTATGTAAAATGAAATAAACCACAAAAACATAAAGTCCCTGCAAAAGAAAAGAACACCAGCATGTCAAAGGAAGCCCTGCTACATAGCTGACAAATAAACAGGGTTGTAAGCATAGCTGATTTTCTACAGCTCTTTTCCACCAAAGCTGAGAATTACAGAACATGTTAGGAGTCTAGCAAAGACCACTATAAATTTCGAATGTCATAAAAAAAAATTAATTAATTTCATTTAGGAAAGCTGACGTCTCACTAACAAACCATTTTTTTCCTCTGTTAAAACGTAAGTAACTCTTGGGGATTGGCCAGTTACTTACCTGGGGAGAGCATAGTGCTGGTAACACCAAGGTCACGGGTTCTGATCCCCGTACAAACCAGCCAGAAAAACAAAACAAAACAAAACAAAACAAAACACACAAAACAAACAAACAAACAAACCCATAAGTAACTCTGAAATCTACCCCTCCTAATACTCGTATATGAAAACAGAATTGCAGAAGTATACCTGATTAGTTGTGTACATGTTGGTTTTTTCCTGTTTTTTTCTACCTATCTCATTATTATTAATTTTTCTTAGCAAAATGGTTGAAGTCGGGAGGTGATGCCCCATTCAGATTGTAGATTTCTGGAAGAGCAGCATTAACCAGCCTCCTGATTTTATTTATATATCTCACCTACTTATCCCACTTGGAAATAAAATCACTGAGTAGGGATTCAGAGGAGTGTTGTGGATAACATTCAGCATGCCTTGCTTCTCAGTAAATGTTACATAAGAACAATAAAACCATCTGTGCATTTGTAAAGAGTTGCTGGCCCTTTAAGTTCTTTTGCAATCTAGTCAAACTCTCAATAAATGCTCTGCTTCTGTCACAGACAGCAACTCAAATTTTGTATTTGTGTTCCGACATTGCCTATACTGGCTCTCCTTCACGATTTCTACAAGGGATCTACTATATACTTCACATGGTGTTTCTATAAAGCTTGGTAATTTTGACCTTTACACTCAACCAATAAATATGCTAAAATGTGCCTTTTATATCTGTTCACTCTGGTTCACATCTGTTTAAGTCATGGAAGTAAATAAGAATCTCCTTAATTACTAAAATTCTTAAATTAATCCACAAAAATAAAAGCAAGACACTCAGCTTAATAAAGAAGAAAAAAAACTCTTCAATATTTTTCAGAAAACACAAATATCTTCATTTTATAAAATATGCATTCTTCTATGATTCTTAACATTTCTTAGAGTATAGAAGCAATAATAAACTTGTGGGCATGAAACTTACATCTGCTGGTATAACAGTACAAAGTGTATCAGAAAATACCCAGGGCCTAAACAATTACAAACTACTTCTATATAAAATGAAATTAGAGGACAGTTGGCAAGGTATGTATGCTAGTATTTTATCTCTGCTGCCACTTTTGAAATACTGTTGTAATTAGGCTTTTCTTCTCTTTCTACTGGAATGATCCCTTCTTGGGTTGGCATCTAGTCTATATAATCAAAAAATGTTTTAAAATCAGTGGTTTATCTGCTAGAAATATTCTTAAATGTAATTGCTGTAGCCATGATACAAAAGTAAACAGAAACATTTATTTCCCTTTGAATTAGTATTTTTTTTTGGAAACAACATTAATATTATAAATTATGTACGGCAAGTGAATTAGTTTCATGTGCAAATGATATTGTGGACATTAGCAGAAACAAATCTTCCTGAAAACACTCATACACATCCAAAAGTTTTCTTGTACAACAGACTTTTCACATGGATATGACCTAATTACATTGGCCACGGCAATAGACAAAACAGGAAAAAAATTAAACTGTCAGACTTAAAAATTGTCCAAATGTCCCTGATTTATTTCAGGATTTCTCTAAGTGTTGTAAAGTGATAGGGTAAAAGCTAGATCAGGAAATAAAACCCATGCTTTAAAATCCATCTCTAAGGACCCATTTGTTATAACAGGACATTCTCTCTCTTGTTTGTTTTTATATATAGCCTTTTGTGCTTCAGGAAAGAAACTGCCTGCTGAAAATAACTTGCATGTGAAAACTGCATGTTTTTTGTTTTTTCTTAAAAGCATAGAAATATACAGTAGATATTTTGAACCTTTTAAATGTGCCCCAGGAAACATACTGTTAAAATGAAAAGAAAAAAATGTTTAAATGCAGATTGTATGACATTTGCCTGTGTCCAGCCCAGGCTGGGCAAATATAGAAAAGGGACCTGCATTATCCACAGTACTCAGCTGTGGAGGTTTCTGACCTCAGAGTAAAAACAAGTCCCCATTCCAAATACTGCATGTTAAATCTCCGGCTCTTTTTGCATGCCGGTCTGAAAGAAATTGTGAGAGAATCTAGAATGTCAATTACTCATTCTACTATTGCTGATCACCTATTAAGTTCATTGCCAGGCACTGAGATGCAAAGATAACATATTTGGTTTCTATTCTCAAGTTGCTCACAAATACAATATCCTACAAAATAGCAGGATACCTGTTTTAGTAAAAGGCGAAAGATTTATACGATCTGAAGAGAAACCAGAGTATGCAGGTTACCTGTTTTAGAAGCAGTACATACATATAATCCATCTGTTCTTCCTATTCTTTACCTAGTGAAAGCTTACAGGCAAGGCAATTCTCTCTGTGCATTGCTGTTTGATTATTTCATTGGATCTCCTACTATAATTATAAAAAATGCTTTCAAAAATCTTTAGTTCTGCTGGCCAGCCCTCTCTATCCCCCCAAAAATGTCTTTAGTTAGATTATACCTGGATTGACCATACCCACTATGGCCAATACTGTATTTCTTTTGATTCAGGAATTTTAAATTATTAGCATTCAGTGGTACACAAATGAAATAATAGTCGAAAACATTAACAAATGCTCTTAACATTGTCAAGGAGTAAAATAAGTACAGGAGATTATGGCTGCTTATCCCAATAATTTCTTTCAGTTCTATATGACATGGGAAAGAATCAATATTACCATTTCATAAATTTAACCAAGAAGTGGTGGCAGGGGAGAGAGAAGTGGTTAAAACAGGAAGATGATTAAGCTGGGTTTTAATCTGAGATCTTTTTACAGGTTCTTCAAGGCTTAACAGCTCCTATCTAGTTGAGGGACACCTGCAGGTTTCAGATAAATTCTCCAAATCGATGTGAACCCCATTTGAGACTTCACTTCCTTCAGAGACAACAAATTATAAGGGACTCAGAGGAATAAAATCTCCATTAAAAGGAGGCTTTCTTCAGCTCAAAAATTACAAATTTGGGATTAAAAAAAAAGGATAACTTCCATTAAACTGTAACCTCCTAGAAAGTAAGAGACCATGCCTAGTTTGTGCTTGTATTTTTTGTTTATAGAATGGTTCCTGGCATGCAGGGGGAGCTTAAGTAATATCTGTTAAATAAGAGACTGGTTTTTAAATTTCATCAGTGGGAGAGATAGGAAGGGGTAGGGGAAGACTTGGGTCTGAGGCACGTGCTAGTTTTAGTCTTCTAATTCTCTCACAACTATAACTAGGTAAGTAGGTAGTTGCTCAATAAAACTTGCTTCAGCTTAGTCTATTTCCCATGTCACATGTGCCTGGACTCTTTTCCTTGGAGAATGAAGCATCCACTCCTGGCTGGATCTCTGCTCTTCTGGCTGGTGTCTCTCTGGTGATGGGGTTGCTTTGTGCTGGGCCCTCAGGTGACTTCCTGGCTGTCTCTGGCTTCCTGCTGGAACTGGGTTTGCATACTGCTGCTGCTCCTTTTTGTGGCTACTTCTCCTTAAAGGGCTTTCTGCTTTTGCTCTCCCCTTGGCAGACTTCTCTGGGGAGTCTCAGTGATCTCTTGTTTCTGGCCTCAAACTGCCCTTAGGCAACCGACCTACTACTGTTTCGCATCACCAGTTTTGATTTAGCAGCAAAGACAATGGATTTCATGGGTTGACAGAATTGAAAAGACAAATACAGAGTTTCCGCATTTGTGTATTTTTTTCAGATGTGGGAGAAGTAGGAATTTCATCTTTAACTGCTTCATTTTTTTAACTGTTCTTATTTTTTCACATTTAAAGTTGCTTTTGTTAATGGTCTTATTTATAATAAGAATCTACAATCTAACCTGTACATAAATACACAGAGGAAGGAATCTTGATAGCTGTTGGCTAGTCAGTAAAACTAAAATACTCAGAAATCTATGGCAGTAATTATTACTCAAACGCTTTTTAAAATACTTGGGTGAGATAAATCATTACGTAGTATTCACCATGGGTTAAGTCAAGTTCTATAATTTCTTACTATTTAAGTGACACTATCCATTCAGAACTAGTAGAGTCAATAAAAGAAGTCTGCTAGCTTCACATATGTCTTTGACTAAATATCTGGATAGCAGGCTGCTATGGACTGATCGAATTGTGTCCCCCAAAGTCCACATATTAGAAGCTTAATTCTCACTGTAACTGTTGGGGGTGGGAAATCCTGTTATGATAATTGAAAGGTGGGGTCTTGAAGAGGTGATTAGATTGTAGAACCATGCCATAGTGAATGGACTAATAATGGTGGTCAGGGGCGTGGTTCTATGGGCTTTAAAAGGAGAGTGCATGAGGATCTATCTCTCTCTTTGCTCTGCCATTTTCTACCATGTGAGACCCCTGCATTGCTGTAAAGCCAATTGCAAAGAAGATCCTCATCAGATAAGTTCCCTGGACTGTGGACTTCCCAGCCTCCAAAACTGTAAGCAATAAGTCTCATTTTTTTTATAAATCGCCAAGTTTCAGGTGTTTTGTTATAAGCAACAGGAAAGGACAAATACACAGGCCTTCACTTTTAAGGTTTAGATAGATGTGTATTCTAAATTTTGTAATTCCTAGGAACAACAATTCTATAGGTATTTATCATAAATACCCAGTGTACAGACAATATATTCTTCCTTTTATACAACCAAGGTTTCTGTCTGCTGTTTAAGAACATATGATGGTACTACAAAAAGTTCATGGAAAAATAGAATTAAAAGATAATATGAATCTTTCCATGAACTTTTTGAAGACCCCCTGTATTTCCCTGTGTCGCCTACAAACATGAGAAACACAGGGTCAGAACCTTCTTTGTTATAAATACTCATGAATCAAAAGATAATTATTAGGTCAGGCTTCAGTAATCTCATCTCCAGATAATATAATCTCCATTTCTTAGCCTTTCCTCTTGAGCCTTATTTCACAGGCCTTTGTCTCTGAGACTACCTCAATGTTCTTCATGTTTCTATTAAGCTTCAACCATGGAGCACGTATCAGTCATGATACTACTTATCAGGAGTTAGACTCTTTCTGACAAAATAGAAGGAACTTCAAATTATGTTTTAAAGGTACAAGAAGGGCCGGCCCGGTGGCGCACTGGGTAGTGCGCCGCTTGGGAAGCGCGGTGGCGCTCCCGCCCGAGGGTTCGGATCCCACATACGGACCGGCTCCCGCTCACTGGCTGAGCGAGGCACGGGAGCAACGCCGAGGTTTGCAATCCCGTTGCCGGTCCCTGGTCCGGTACGG